CAAGTTTGGAGAGTGCATCGGCTTGAGTATTCTAACCCCTTGGGATCAGCTGAACCTCAAAAGTTTTCAGCTCTGCAATGACTGACTTGGTCTTGGCAAGATAAGCTATCATGGAGGGCTCTTTGGCCTCGTAGCTGCCGCTAATCTGATATGCAACTAGCTGAGAGTCTGTTTTCAGGCAGACATGATCGGCTTCCAGGGAGATGCACAATTCTAGGCCGGCGATTGCTGCCTCATATTCGGCTTCGTTGTTCGAGGCCTTAAAAGAAAATTTTAGTGCATACTCAAAGGATTTGCCTTCGGGAGAAGTTATCACTACTCCTGCCCCCGAACCGTTTTCGGTGGAAGATCCATCCGTAAACACGGTCCAGACTTTCTTTTCATTGTCTAGCGCTTCTTGGTATGAGCATTCGGCCAAGAAATCCGCTAGAGCTTGAGCCTTAATGGCAGCCCTCGGACGGTAGCTGATGCTGAATTCGGTGAGCTCAAAAGCCCACTTGGCTAGCCTACCAGATTTTTCAACCTTGCCGAGAACTTTTTCCAACCGCTGATCAGTTAAGATCACTATCTGATGGCAATCAAAATAGGGCCTCAGCTTCCGAGCAGCTACTACTACCGCGAAAGCGACTTTCTCGAGTAGAGGGTAGCGAGTCTCGGCATCCGTTAGTGTATGACTGACAAAGTAGATCGGTTGCTGACTTTTACTTTCTTCCTTCAGCAGTACTGCACTGATGGTGGCTGGGCTAACGGCCACATACATGTACAAAGTTTCTCCTTCAGCTGGGCTAGCCAGCGTTGGGAGTTGAGCCAGATGCTCCCGAAGCTGTTTAAAGGCGTCTTTTTGCTCTTCCTCCCAAACGAGCTCTTTTGTTTTTGGGAGTTTCAGGGCTTTGAAGAAAGGTAACCCCTTATCTGAAGCTCTGGAAATGAACCTCGAGAGGGCTGCCATTCTTCCGGTGAGCCGCTGAACATCCCGCTTTGTTTTCGGCTCAGGAAGGTCGAGCGCCGCTTTAACTTTGGAGGGATTGGCATCAATCCCCCTTTTGCTGACTATGAACCCAAGGAATTTCCCTGACTTCACGCCGAAGACGCACTTCTTCGGATTCAGCTTCATTTGATGCTTTCTTAAGGTGGCGAAAGTTTCAGCCAAGTCCTTAACATGGTCCTCAGGTTTTTTGCTTTTGACGATCGAATCGTCGACATAGACTTCCATGTTTCGGCCCTTTTGATCAGAAAAAACTTGATCCACCAGCCTTTGATAGGTTGCCCCCGCATTTTTCAATCCGAAGGGCATCATTTTGTAATTGTACACCCCAGCGTTCGTGACGAATGTTGTCTTTGCTCGATCGTCGGGGTGCATGAAGATCTGATGATACCCCGAGAATGCGTCCATGAAACTAAGCAAGGCATGGCCACTTGTCGAATCGACTAGCTGATCGATCCTCGGCAAGGGATAAAAATCCTTCGGACAAGCCTTATTTAGGTCCGTGAAGTCAACGCACATCCTCCAGGTACCATTGGCCTTCTGAACCATCACTACATTTGCCAGCCATTCTGGATATTGGCAAGGCTCGATGAAGCCCGCCTCCAGCAATTTTTTGACCTCGGCTGCGATGTCTCGGTTCTTATTAGCGGAGTAATTCCGCTTCTTTTGCTTAATTGGTCGACACGTTGGGTCAACATTAAGCTTATGGGAAATGAGGTCTGACTTATCCCGGGCATATCAGTTGCCGAGAAAGCAAACACATCTCTGTTGTCCCAAAGGAGCTGAATAAGTTCACAACGGGTGTTCGGATCAAGGTCCATCCCGATTGTTACACATTTCTCAACGTCTCCTTCGGCCAACTCAACTGTTTCAGTCTGTTAGTCTATGTCCATTGCTGATGGACTGGACTCTTCATAATCTGGCCTGCTGCCTATGTCAGCAGGTGTCCTAGTCTTTTTGTTCTTCGGCTGGCTCTCTGAGTCTTGCGGTTCAGCTGAAGAGCTAGCCTTTTCCCTTTCGGGCCCTTTACCTCTGGGTACAGATCCTTGGGCCGAAGCACTTAGGCCTTTCGGATTTTTTGTGCTTGGCTCTCTTTCTTTTTCTTTCTCCTCCTCATCCTTGTCGTCATCTGGGCGACTACTGGATGGCTTGAGGTAGTTGCACCTTCGGGCGTCCTTTTGGTTTCCTTGTATCCTTTCGGGGAAGCCGGCGTCTGAGACGTAAATCATCAGCTGATGATAAGTTGAAACGACCCCTTGGATCTCATGAATTATGGGTCTCCCCAAAATCACGTTGTACACTAAAGGAGCGTCAATGACCAAAAATTCAATCATGACGTTCCTGGCTGCCTCATCGCAGCCGATGGTGATAGGAAGTGTCACCTTCCCATCTGGATAAGTTGAAGCCCCGTTGAACCCGGATACCGGGTAGGGTACCGGCGTAAGGTGCTTGGGCTTCAGCTTGATTTGATTGTAGGCCTTTCGGAACAGAATGTTTGCTCCGCTGCCACCGTCAACAAGGACCTTACTGACGTCGTGGTTGGCCACCGTGGCGATGATCACCAACGGATCCTCGTGAGGGAACGTTATCCCCCGGCAGTCGGCGGCTGTGAACGTCATGTTCGTCACCGGCGACTGGGGAGACTGAATGTCAGCGTTGTTCACCTGGTGAGTCAAAGCCCTAAGGTGTTGCTTGTGCTCCCTCCGAGAGCATATTCCTCCCGAGATAACATTGATCGGAGAGAATTTCCCCTCCGGCTTTTTACTGTTCTTCCGGGGGAAGTCGAGGTCTTGCCGAGAGTCCTTTGCTGACTTCTCGGATTCTTTTTTCTCGCGGTGATCCGCGATGTATTTTTTCAAGTATCCCTTCCGGACCATGTCCTCTATCTGGTCCTTCAGTTGGATACACTCCTCAGTGTTGTGTCCCGGAGACTCGTGGAACTCGCACCACTGATTTTTATTTTTCCGCTGATACCACTCTGGGAGTGGTCTCGGCTTTCGGTAACTCTGCTCCTCCTTCGTCACGCTGTAAATTTTGGCGCGTGGAAGAGAGAGCGGAGTGTAGGACTCGTATCTGCCTGTGTATGAGGCAGATTTTTCCTTCTTTGGGTCGCTGGCCGAAGATTGCTCCGAGGCCTTTGACTTTCCCTTTGCCTTATGGCCTTGGCCTTCAGACAAGGGTATTTGTCTTTGTTTCCCTCCCCCGAATTGAGGTTGGGTTTTCGCTTTGTTCCATTCTTCGGCTCGGATGAACTTATCCGAGGCATTCAGAGCTTCCTCCAAGGTCTGCGGGGTATGCATGACCATGAAGTCTAGGAACTTCCCGGGCTGAAGGCCATTCTGCATTGCAAAAACGGCTAGCCCCTGGTCCAGCTGAGAGACGCTGGATGACTCGTTACTGAAACGGGTCAGATAGTCTCGGAGGCTTTCGGTTTCCCCGTGTTGCAGACTCATGAGTTCTGCAGTAGTCTTCTCTCGGCGGTTTGCCGTGGAAAACTTGCTCCTAAATTTGGAGGACAGATCATCCCACCCTGTTATGGAGCCTTGCTTTACTCCCTTGGAGATCCACGCTTGCGCGACCCCCTTGAGAGTGGTTGGGAAATATTTGCACCAAGTCGCTTCGGATCTGGGGCAAAGATGCATATGAGTCTCATACGAGGCCACGTGATCCTTCGGATCCGAGGTCCCGTCATATGTGATGTGCGACGGTATTTTAACCGTGGGCACGTGCTCTTCCAGTATTCATTGCTCGAATGGCGAACTGGCGGGTAGCATAACGGCCTTGCCCTTGTTCCTGGCCGAAGGGACCGCGCTCCGCCCTCTTAGAGAGGTAGGAGTGGTTTTCGTCCCTGGCTGGGAAGTCTGGGCCTCGGCCGCAGGGAACGAGAGGCGACTGCGCACGCTCGGTTCCTTGCCGCCGAGTCGGTCGAGGACGCTTCGGCGAACAGTCTCAGGTTCTCGGTGAGTAGATTCTGGCCGAGAAGCTGAGCTGCTGCTCTTATGCGTTTCAGGTCGGGAGGATGAGGATCCTTTTAAAAATTGAGGGTTCTTTTTCCTCTCTTTTTCATTTTTCCAGGTATCCTCTTCCCACTCTTCCAGTTCCCGGGAGGAAGGAAGCTTCCCACCATCATGGTCTAGCTTCCTCCGCTGATGCCGGGTATGCGGAGGAGTTCGATCACGAGGTGGTGGCATATTTTGTGCCCTCATCGCCTCCATGAGCACTGCCAGCGCTCTTGCCACCTCCTCCGAGCTGGGCCCCGTCAAAGGGGTCCTCGGCCGAGTATGGGAATGAGGGCGCACAGTCGATGGTTGGCTTTGGGGCACTGAATGTGTCCTATGATCGGACTCACCCCTGCCAGACCGAGAGTGACTCGGCCTATGATGAGAGTCATGAATTACGGGAGAAAGGGAATCCTCCTTGTATGATCCTCCCCCCGAGCTGGCACCCTTGGGAGAGTTCCGGTCCAGCGAGGGTGATGGTGTAGGGGTTTTAGGCTTTTCGCCCGCTCCTTGACGGAGGCCTTTGCTCTTGCGGTTCTTAGCCATTGCTACTAAGATAATTGCAAGATGATCTTGGTTAGAAATTTGGCTTAAAGATTTTTGAAAGTCCTCCCCACAGACGGCGCCAAATTGTTTCGGGTGAAAACAATGGGACCTGGCCGAAGGTCCGATGAAGCGGAGAAGACTAGATTCGATCCAAGTAATGTTGGGCCGAAGGTTTCCTGCACAGTAAACACACGTAAACTAGCCTCGGGGGTGTTGCCGAGGAAGGCCCCTCCGATGCTAAAGTCAGTACAATGTGTAGAAAGAGAACACTATGCAAGAGAATTAGTTGCTTGAGGCTTTTCTTGAATGAATGTAAAAATGTAATATTGATGGCTTTTATACCTCTTCATACATGGAGAAGTTGGGCCTTAGCCCAATTGGTTTGCCTTGAGGATTGATCGTTGACTTTAGCACAATTAGAGAGATGAACCTTGACCTTGGGCTTTTAATTGGATCATTTAATGCCTAAGCCCAATTGGACTAAATTGGACCCAAACAACAACCATAGTTATGTGTATAGATTTAACCCATGTAGTGTGGCATTTCCGGTGGCAAGAGATGCGTTTAGATTTAACATAACCTATTTAAATCGAAACTTGGAGTACTACGCTGACTTGGAGGTACCTGTTGTATTCAGTTGGACCATTGGACAAGACAATTGTTCTGTGGCGAAAGCGAATGGAAGCTGCTTGTGTAAAGAAAACGCAGTTTGCATTGATCCGGAGCATGAATTGGGGTATCGTTGCATATGCAAACAGGGCTATTCTGGCAACCCTTATCTTCCTCGTGGATGCAGAGGTACGTATTAAAAAATTTGTCCTTTTTATTGTTTTATTACAAATACTCCCTCCGCCCCTTTTTATAGTTCCATTTTAACTGGGCACGTTTGCCAAGGTAACATTTTGACCATAAATATCGTTAGTTGTTTATTACTAAAAAAATATAACAATTTATTATTAATAATCTATTCATTGAGACGAATCAAATTAGACCCAACATGACTATGTTATGTCTTATATATTAAGAGTAATTTTGAAGATTCTCTCACATTATCAATAGTGTCAAAATTCCAAATGGGAACTATTAAAAGGGACGGAGGGAGTATACTCATGACTAACCAACACGCCTTGTGATGCAGCTCGCCACATTATGTGGCCTCTTGTAAAAGAACAAATTAATCCTTAAACACTGACTGAGTAATCCCTGTAATTCTAACCGAGTAACCCCTTTAACACTAACTAGGTAACCCTATAACACTCACGAAATAATCCCTGTAACATTGACGAAATAACCCCTATAACACTAACGAAGTAACCTCCATAATACTTTGCTTTCTGACCACATGGTGTGACCAACCACATATAAGAATTTATTATGACTAAATAGTTTACACAAAATTTTTCTAAATAATTTTACTTTTTATAAAATGGATCATGATCTAGAAAGATACTATTATAAACTAAACTAATTTTCTTACAATTGTATATTTGTATAACGTGTGTTTCAATACGGCTTTGGATCATTAGACATTGATGAGTGCAAGGGAAAGAATGATTGTGAGAAAGCAAAGTATTGTATCAACACAGTTGGAAGTTATTATTGCAAGTGTCCAAGGCACTACCACGGGAATGGGACTGCATCCGATCCTTGCATTTCTAATAGAAAGCCTTGGCTCACACCTGTTTTGGCTACCGCTGGTAAGAAACAAAATGCTCATACAAATATTTTTCCTAATTTGATTTTATTTTATTTTTTTTTAACTGCGATTGATAGTAAATTGCAAGGGTGATACCTGCAAAAGTTTATTACTTGTTTGTTGACTTGTTATAGTTACCTTGAGTCTAATAACCCCCTCCGGACAACTATCATATATTCATATGGTCTTTTGTCTAGTTAACGAGTTGGAGTTGCACATGGGATTTATGGATTTAAAACAAAACATAAAATATAAAATAAGTGTGTATTGAATTTGTTACCTACTCTATCCCAGAATAACTAACATAATAAATTTTGTACACATGTGAATGCACTAATTTAACTTTATTTTATATAATTAAATATCAATTAAAATCATTTTTTAAAAAAATATAAAACTTTATATTAATACCTATCTAACAATAAATACTATAATAAAATATGTTTTTTTTATTATATTAGTAAAAAATTATAGTTAAACATAATACATAATAAAAAGAAAAAGTGCTATTCAAAAAACAAATTAAAAAGTAAAAGTCCAACGTAGTACCTATCAGTGTCCCACCAACGTAATAACCTAAATTTGCCTTCATAGGGGTTGAAGGGCGCGACATGGCCTCTGGGACAATGCCTCTAAAACCACGGTATCTATTACGAAGTATATTGGGTTTCAGTTTCCTTTTTTATTTGGGTTTACATTGAGTCATGTTTTATGTTTGGGAGTAAAATATAAACTACAGTATATCCATTGGTTTAAGTTTTGTCGCAGTTGTTTAGTTTGATTTCAATCTTTTTTAGGGAAATCAATATGCCATACCATGGACCATAGTTTGGAATAATTCTCAACCGAACCAAACCAGTAAAATGCGATATAGTTTGCAATTTGATAGGATTCATATCAAATTCTTTTTCATCTATCTATTTTTTTTATTATTTTATTATTGTTATATTTGTGAGCTTACCCTCCTTCCTTATTAATCCACTTAAATTGGTACTACTGTTGTGTCAAATTTCAAATGAAAAATTGATGAAAATAATTTCAACTTTAAGCATTCCGCTTAAAATAATCCTTACTTTGGATTAACTAGATATAATCCCAACGAACAGCACTAAATCTGCTCAAAATAGTCCATAACTTGTTAGCAGCATACCGTAACCTGTATATTAGGTTTTTTAAACATGTGTTTAATTATGATTGATTCAAATTTCATTAATCAAAGTTTTTATAATTATGCTATGCAGTATGATTTTAGGATTTGCTTCACCACACACACCACGGCTACACACCACCATTGTTCCACCATAAAACCACCACAATCTTACCGCCTCTGCCATGACCAACCGGTCCAACCCACATTAATGCAAAACGGTATTATCAACTAATCAGACGACACAACGCAGCCCCATAAACCACCACAATCCGAAGAAGTCGCGGCAGAATGTCGTCGACGAAAGTGGCGGCTGTGCATCAAATTCTCTCTTCACACCCTCCGTTGCAACCCGTCCGCTCCTCGCCCTCCTCCTGACCCAAACTCTCGGCGTCTCCCCGACATCCTAGCCACAACCCACCCAAAACTACAACCAATTAACTAAAGAAAATTTATTTAAAAAATAAAAGAGAATTAAAGAAGAGAAACGTCTATGATGACTCAGGTGGCGACGACGTGATACAGCGGCGAGAAATGGATTAGAGTTGGTGATGATGATGATGTGTGTGAAAATTAGGTAAAAAAAAAAAGGGGGAAATTTTAGCATTTCTAACCTGTTTGGTTGGTAACCTATAAATGGGAGCATTTTGAGAATTTTAGTTAAAGTTGGGATTATACCTAGTTAATCTAAAGTAGGGATTATTTTGAGGAGAATGCTCATAGTTGGGATTATTCCCATCAATTTTTCCAATTTCAAATAGGAGTGAGTGAGTGAGTCTTCCTTAATCCAAACTCTGACCAAACTATAGACAACTTTGTTTCATAATTCGTATATAATAAGTGACATTTTTTTTAACTGGTAGGTATTGGTGGTGGCATCATAACTTTTCTCATGATTGGATTTCTCTTGCATTTTATACACGGTAAAAGAAAAATCAGAATAATGAGAGAGAGTTTTTTTCGACAAAATGGTGGTTTTCTTCTACATGAAAAGCTCTCTGGACGTGCGGATACATTAAAGATCTTTACTATGCAAGATCTTGAAGTTGCGTGCAACAATTATAGCGACACAAACATAATTGGAAGAGGAGGTTTTGGAATTGTTTACAAGGGATTTTTGCCTGATAACCAAGTTGTGGCAATAAAAAAATCACTCAAAGTGGATCCAAGTCAAGTTGATCAATTCATCAATGAAGTTGTTGTTCTATCACAAATTAACAACAAAAATATTGTAAGGCTAATAGGTTGTTGCTTGGAGAGTGGAGTGCCATTGTTAGTGTACGAATTCATTAACAATGGGACGTTGTATGATCACTTGCACGATGCAATGAAAGCGTCCATTCTTAAATGGCCATTGCGGTTGAAGATTGCATCAGAGGTTGCCAATGTACTATCATATCTACACAACACTATCTCAACAACGATAATTCATAGAGATATGAAATCGATGAACATACTCTTGGATGAAAGTTACACTGCTAAGGTTGTTTCGGGGTTTTCTGATGTCCTGCGGGAGAGTTACAATTCCGAGACTGGAACCGGACGCCTGTACCTGCAAAACAAACGGATGCTCCGGATGATTGGAGATCCGCCTCCGACGGTCAAGTTAGTACTTGATTAAGGAGTAATTAATGCGGAAATTAAAGTGGTTGGGTCTCTCTAGGTGAGAGTGTTTAATGTGCGTAATCCCCGTTAATGAGGATTAAGGGAGGTATTTATAACCTTGGGAAACATGCCAATCCTAGGTTTAGGTTAACCTTGGGCTGATTGGGCTTCCCTCGAAAGTTGGGCCTAGGTGGCCGGTTTCTCCATTAGGCATGGAGTATGCCACGTGTCATGACATAATAGGTCCAGGGTGGACGAATAGGCGTCTGGCGCATTCCGATTGGTGGGAGCAAAATCCCCTAATCATTTGCCCCTCACAGGTGGCACGTGACTGGTCACGTGTTACCTGTGACAGGTGTCGCACTGTAACAGGCGACGGCCTGCTACAGGTGCCACTCGGCGAAAGGCCGAGAGATTCTCCCGCCCAAATTTTGAATTTTGGAAGTGACCCTTCGCCTTCTCACTTAGCCTATATAAGGGAGTGTTGTCCTCAGTCATTTTCACACTTGAGAACTTTTTGAGAGAACATTTGGACCCCTGAACTTGCTCTGACAATTTGGACCCTTTCTACCTACCGCCTGCTCTGACAAGTCGACTGCACAGGATTTTCAGAACTCCATCAACATCACTCGTTCAGGTAACCGTCGGTTCTCTTACTCTTAATTTTCTCTTTATTTTATTCTTTTTTGAAATGGCACCACGGAAGCACACGACACGACCTAGGTTAGTGATCAGCCGGTCACCGGGGACGGCTAAATCTAGGACTAGGAGTGCCGCCTGCCCTTTTCCGGATCCATCTTTGCCCTTTATACAAAGTCCGACTGTCTCTGTGTCTATGCAGAACATGATGGCCAGAACAAAAAGAACTGCTAGGATTTCGAACTCAGACGGCTCCTCCCACAGGGTGCCGATTAGTGAAACATCTGACCAGGCGCCAGATGTGGAAGTGAACCAAAGCGGCTTGAAAGCCGACAGTTCTGAGGGAGGAGTCAAAGTGACCCCTTCCAATTTTACAGTTGACAAGTCTACATTCTCTCCTGCTCCTTTTAAAGGAGAGGAGGCGGGCCCCTCTGGGAGAGGGGAGGAGTCGTCCTCTTCGGACTCGTTAGAGGACGAATCCGAGTCTAGCTCTTCTGGCCATGCTTCTCTGGACACAGAAGAGAAAAACAGTCGCCTACAAGAGGCGAGGCTTTCTCACGCAGTTGAGAAGGGGGACAATTGGGCGGAGCCATCCGCCTCTTACCGAGAGCAAAATACCCCCTACTACTGCACTGTCCCTCGGGGCCGGATCACGACCATGCAAGAGAAAGTGGGGAGCTTTATTGCAAACCACACAATGGGCCCCGGCTTTTTAGTGTTCGTGCCGGATCCAGAAGACACAGTCGTCTGGCCGGCTGGTACTAGCTATGATGGCGCCTGCTTTGGCTGCTACGAGGCGGCGATCAAGGCTGGGCTGCGCTTCCCACTACATCCGGCTATTCAGCGGATCTTGGATGGGTATGAGTTGGGGTTATGGCAGTTAGCCCCGAACTCTTGGGTCAACGTACTCGGCTATGTGGCCGGGTGCGAACTGCACGGGGTGGAGCCAAACTTCGAGGCTTTCGCCCACATGAATTACCTCAGCCGGACCCCTAAGGCAGGCGGTACCGGCTGGTATCAATTGACAAGCCACAGAGGCTACCTCATGACAAGGGGTAAAGCAAACAAGTGGAAGGACTGTCGAAGCACCTTCCTTATCATTGAGAGTTCAGACACAAAGCTGAACAAGCGCTTCAACAGGTGGAATAGGAATCCGCCTCTTCTTGCAGGCGGTCGCAGCATGCCGCCTGTTCCCCCCAAAGCTAAGAAAGAGATCCTGGATAAAGGACTCTTTAAAGTAGAGTCGAGGGTTGATTCTACTTCAGGGGTACGAGAGCAAGTACCCCTGCACTGCGTCCCGAGCTTCAAATGGCTCTATGACGAGTACTTTTTGGCCGCCTGTGGCCTCAGCAGTCGGTGCTCAAGAGGTAGCCGACCTGTCGAATACTCTGTTTTTTCATGCATTACTGTTGTGACTTTTTATTAACTTTGCTATTTGTTTTTGCAGCGGACGCCATGAGCAAAATTACCGCCTCCAAGACTCCGGCGGCCATGTTGCGGGCCTCCGTCATGCAACAGTCCTCAACCGACTCCCCCAACAAGGGGGCACCCTTGGTGAGCTTCGAACCTTTCACTCTCTTTTTTGAGTTGGGTTTATGCATATACTGACCGAGTGTTTTTTTTTTTTTTTTTTTTTTTTTTTTAGACGGGCGCTCCAAGAGCTTCTTCTTCCCAACAGCCGGACTCCAAGACCATGAGGATGACTGTTGCGAGCTCTCCTGGTTCAGCCAGGAAACATGCGGCGGCTGAGAAACAGCCGGCCACTCCTTCTAAAAATCCAATTGGGCCGCCTAGAAGTATGAAGTTGTCTTTGTGAATTTAGACTTGCTCCCTTCTTTACTAGGTCTAACTCGTTTGTTTATGGTTGATGCAGCCGGCCCTCAGGAACCTGACTTGGTCGAGGTGGCCAAGTCTATGATCAAGGCCGTTCCTCCAGCTGAAATGGAGGCGGTTAGGGGTGTTGGCACCCTTGACCTAGACGGGATTGCAGGGGTCCTTGCTGAGGTATACTTAGCATATTTTTGGTTATTTGAATTCCAGGACGCCTGTTTTTTTGTTTGGAAACTGACGCCTGTTCCCTTTTTACTTAGGCCCTGCTCCGAGTGAACGGCCTCCGTAACCCGCTTGACAGGAAGAACAAAGAGGTAAAGGCTGCAAAAGCTATGGCCGCCTCTGACTGTGATAAGGCAATGTTTCAAATTGCCCAAAATGAGGTTCTGACAATTGACATTCTTTATTATCAGGCGCAGGCTACTTCTGTCATCCGGGCTCAGTTAGAGGCGGCCCAGAAGAAAAATAGCGAGCTGGAGGCGACCATCAACAATCTCAAGGCCGAGCTGAGACCTCTTCGCCAAAAAATGTCCTCATACGACACCTTGGAGAAATCCTTGGCGCACGTTAAGGAACGCCTGGTGACCCAGGAGAAGAGTCTTACTCAGGAGCTCTCGGCAAAGGCCGAGCAAGAAAAGAAAGAGCTGGTCCGGGAGATGATGGAAGACTCTGCTCAAATCCAGTGCATGACCTGGGGCCGCCTCTTCCCCAATGCCGACTATTCCTCCTGGGAAAAAACGTACCGCCAGTGTTCTGATAGATATAATCAAGAGATCCTGGCGGCTGCTGAGGACGAGGCGTTGGAGGAGGAGGAGCCGGTAGTGGCGCTTGTGCCGCTTGGGGGTAATGCATCGAAGAAGGATGCACCTGAAGCCGAGTCCAGCAAAAAGAGTGCTGACCAGGCGGCAGCTGCTAATATTGAAGATCTGCCCCCTTCTTAAGCTTTATGTCTTCTTTTCACGGCCTGCGTGCCGTTTGTTTCTATTTACCCGGCTAGGGGGCCGGGGTTCTGAATATTTGGCCGGTCTTTAATGACCGGCTTCTTTTTATGCCAAAATATTTCATTTTTGTTTTGTTTCAAATTTGTTTAAGTATCGAATATTCTGATACCCAATTGCATACTATACCGACTGTTTTGCATGGCCGATAGTTGCGGACGGGTACAAGATAGTTAGTCACGCCACTTATGCCCCTGGACGACTGGTTGTCTGTTTCCAGTCTAAGCGATCAGTCGGCCACTTTAAAGAATGGTTTTCCTTCAACCTAGTAGGAAGATGGTTTCCTACCTGCCTTGTTTGTTTTTTAAGCTAGACTCTAGTCGGTCCAGGCCGACTGTTCCCCGCCACTTTTAATCTAGTGTGAACAGGCGCTGTATGAACACCATTTTAGCTTCATACTAAATTTTTTAAGGAGTGACCATGGAAACATAATTGTTACCTAGTCGCCAAGTGACTAAGTAGTAGAGGTATCAAGCGGTGGGTACCGGTTGTTCCCCTTTATTCGCCAATGTTTGTTGGCTATTAACTCATAAGATACCAACTGTTCTTATCCCAAGTAATTCAGTCGGTCGGTTGACACGGATGGTTACTGCAAACACTTGTTTGACCTGATTAGTCATTTAAGTGAGAGGTATCCTTGCCCGGGAAACGGCTACGTGGTTGTCTGGGTTAGACAGTCGTATAGGTGTCGTGTAATGATTTTATAAAACAATGTTCCACCCAAAAGGGAGCTGCTCTCTGCGACGAATTTCATCCGGATGGATGCCGCCGGACGCCTGCTATAATGTTGGGACAGGTCGAATTGAATTTATATTTGGATCAGTTGGCTTGGCGCCTGGTCTGATCATTTTAGCCATGAGCCTTTGATAGTTCTTAATGAACTGTGTTATGGGAGAGTAACCGGTTGTGTGGAACAAGCGGCGTGCCCCTCTTAAGTAAGAATAAAAATTAAACATGGAGAGTAGCCGACTGTTTGTTAGTAGGCATGCCCCTCTTAGGTAAAAATGAAAATTAAACATGGAGAGTAGTCGACTGTTTGTCAGTAGGCATGCCCCTCTTAGTACAGAATTGAATGAAACGTCAAACTTTTATTAAGTAGCCCTCGACTATTTACATCATTCAAAAGAAATATTTCTTAAGATTATCTACATTCCAGGTTCGAGGCAACGGTTGGTCGTCTGGTGTTTCCAGACGGTAGGTACCGTCCCTGACCTCTTCATAGATTCGGTAGGGTCCTTCCCAGTTGGGAGTTAGTTTGCCAGACTCATTAGCCCTACCAACTGCTTCCATTTTTCTAAGTACAAAGTCCCCCACTTTGAGTGGACGCCTGTGCACTTTTTTGTTGTATGATCTAGTCATTCTCAAGCGGTATATTTCATGGCGCAAGACAGCATTGCCCCTCCTTTCTGGG